CTGCTGCTGCTGCTGCTGCTCCTGCTGCTCCTGCTATTAGCCTATTACTACTACTACTGCTGCTGGTGGTGGTGGTGGTGGTCATGGTGGTTGTCGTGGTGCTATTGCTGCTGCTTCCCCTTAGCAATTCCGACTTTTAACACAAGTTTTAGGTGTTTTCGTTTGTAAATAGTGTAAATAAAGTCGCTGAGCGCGAGCGTGTAACGGCATGCCGACCCCTCACCGCATCGTGTCAGCGCCAGCGAATCACGCGCCGGCGCTTCTGCAACGACAAACGCCAGTCGCATCACTCGCCTAATTAACTGTGTAATCGACCGCTTAATTAGCAACTCAATTACGCGCGCATGCGATTAATCGCGCGCCGCGCGAATATTAATTGTTGCCGGCGGACAATCCGCCGCGCGCGCGTCTGCTTGCCGTCCCCGGCGTAACCGTGGCAACTGCTTCTCTCTCCAGCAGCCGAGGTTGAGAAGCTGCGGCAGGCGCTGGAGAACATGGTCGTCGCTAACGAGGAGAAGGATCGAGTCATCGACGACCTCAAGAAGACGGTGAACCGATTCAAGCGCGTGCAGGAGATTGTCGCAGGTCCGTCGCCGCGGAAACCGCACGGAGACCCAGGTGCATGCTCTAACCAGCTAACTAATTTTTGTTTTTCGACCATTAATTATGATTAATATTGTCAAATCGTACTAATTACCTTGATCCAACCATTATTCACTGTTATTCACTCATTAATTACCATTATCCAATCATTTATTATCGATATCCAATCAGTAGTTGCAGTCATCCTAGGGTTAGTTACCATTATCCAATTAGTAGTTACTGTTAATCTTACAGTGAGTCTCTAGTTACCTAGAGTCTGTGCATAGTTTGCAACTTGTCCCTGTAGATGGCAGTACTCGTATAGCTTTTTGCACCTGAATACTGAGCTGTATATAATGACTTACTATATACAGCACAGTGGCACCATATGTGGATATCTACTGAGCGTATTTGGGTGCTTCTAGTGGATTCGTGTAGTGCTGTTGCATTTTTGCATTCTGATAATTTCGTGTAAGTGTCTTTTGAACTAGTGTCGTTCTTTGTGATGTTACTTGTGCAAGTTTTTTATGTCTATCGTGTCCTAAGAATTGGATGCTGCTGTTTCATCATAAACGACGTTCGTAGTCCATAGAGATAGAAAACTCGTGTGTAAGATGTGACACTATTGGAATGTTTTGCATCTTGATTGGTCTATGCATTTAACTAGCTTCCGTCTGGTGCTGTTTGCGCTGCGATGCAAACTTGACTTTCCTTTTGTACTTGTTCCCATGACACTTGTTACCGGTGGCTGCGTTGGCGCAATAATGGCAGAATTCTTGCAAGGAGCCGCGTGCGCAACACACACGATTCTTACAACCACCGACAGAAAACTACGTAAAGTTGCAACACCTTCATTTCTGTCCTTCGTCGTGTAAATCCATCATCACGTTTCACAGACTCAACCTGTCTCAATCAATATGATGCCTCACAGACTAGCCTGTCTCAATCAATATGATGCTCGTCGGACTTCCGCAGTACAAGGAGAGCTTCAGCGATGCGAGGGTTGACGGACGCATGCTGCATTACCTGACCGTGGTACGTGCGACGACACACAGGTGGCGCTCTCGTCACCGCGCCTGACAGCGACTCGTGACGGGCCGTGACGTCTAACACCATAATCTGAGCATCAGTAATCATGGCCGTCGCCGTGACTTTATTGAGAAAAGAGGAAATATGATGATGATAATGATTTTAATAATGACAGTGATAGTAGTAATGATAATCGTAACTTGATTAATAGTTGTGGTAGTAAAAATGTAAGGAGAAAGTAAAAAAAAGATTTAGTACAGATTGCCGTCTGTAACCGCCTTGTTGTTTGACCTTGGCAGGAGGACCTGCTGCAGATGAAGGTCACCAACATACTGCACCACGTCAGCTTGAAGCGAGGCATACAGCTGCTGCGGCTGCACAACTACAACCCAAACTGCCTGCGCCGGCGACCCACCGACATGGAGGTGAGTGCGTGCCCCGCCTCCGCTGCCGTGGCAACCGCTGCAGCAGACGCAGCCACGCCGAGGCTGATGCAGGATGTGGGGAAGGGTCGATCGAATGTCTGATCATGGGTGGTTGGAGATCGGGGGAGGGGGTAGCCTTGGTGGGGGAGGTGGGTAGTGTTGTTGTGTTGTGACATAGGCAGGTATTTGGTTGGGGTAGCTTCGTTTGATGTGTCTGACATGAGACATTGCTAGAGTGGGAAAGATAATTATATTTTATTATCATTGTATTTGTATTAATTTAGATTTTTGTTGTAATTTTCAATTAGAAAAAGCATTTAATATGTGTCATTACTTATTTTATTTATTATATAAATAAAAAAGTTTCATATTTTTTGTTGGGTGTGATCATAGTTGGTTGGGCAGCATCAGGAACCAACCATGCAGTGTTTTCTCTTCTCCTCTCCCTTTCCCCTCTTCCTGCCATGTCCACTGCCTCTACATACGTGCCTGATATGTGTGCATGCAGCGCATGTGCCTAGTAACACGGCGTCTCTAACTCGCGTCTCGTCGCAGGGCGTGGACAATGACCCGCGTGACGTCATGCTGTGGACGAATCACCGCGTCATGGAGTGGCTGCGGACAGCGGATCTGTCTGAGTACGCTCCCAACCTACGCGGCAGCGGTGTCCACGGTGCCCTCATAGTGAGTAATAACATACTGCTACTAAACTAGTAACATATACCTACATAACTTACATACTGCGTATAACATCATAGCGAATATAGTAACAATTACATAACTTAGTAATAACATACATACTGCTAAACTAGTAACATATACCTACATAACTTACATACTGCGTATAACATCATAGCGAATATAGTAACAATTACAT